CAATTTTTTTTGTAAATTTCCCAAATATTTTAAATTTATCCAACCACGAAAAACTTGGAACATTTCCTCTTAATAAATTCTCATTTTATGTTCAAAACAACATTTGTCAATTAGTAATTGTTGTTCACCCATTCTTAATAACATAATCCTTATCAAAACATTTGGAACCCGTGACCCACCACATCAACCAGTTAACTAATGACCAAGTGCCTTGGCCTAGCCAATGCCCGGGATGGGTCTGAGGATACAACAAGCCTGACGATTCAAAGAGTATTTAAGGAAACTAATTCATCATAAAAACTTCGATAATAAAAGATTCTCAAAACAGCGAGCAAGTTTTTATCTTGCAACAACAATCCGACTCCAAACTAAACCCAAAATTAACATTACCCTAAAAATAGTAGTAAACTGTAATGTGAAGTCGAAAACAACTGAATAACATAACAATAAAGATATGATCACAGATTTTAATCGAAAAGACCGAAACCCATGTCATCATCAGACTCCTCGGCCGGCTCCTCTTTCTTATCCTCTTCGGCAGATGGAGCCAGTGCACCACCAGAATCAGCAGCTGTAGACGGAGCAGCAGCAACCGCAAACTTGCTGGGATCCTGAAGTAATAATTTTACACAATCACACCAATGTTCAGGGCATCAGATACAGCGAGCAAGCACGTAAAAATACACATGCGACTACATACCTCAAGATATTCCTTAACTTTATCAGCCAGGGGGAAGGAGTAATCAGTTTCAACAGCAACGGCCAAAACATTCTTGTAAGCATTAATGAACATATGTGGTGCAGCTGCCAGTGTCGGGTACGAGATGGCAAGGGACAGAGAAGTAACCATGGAAACGCCCACAGCAAACTTTTCAATGAGGTCATCTTCAGTCAGATCAAGCACTTCAGGGCTGAAAACGGATCCGTTGTCATAAACAGATAGGACAACTAGACCATAAGAGAATGGCCGGATTCCAAGTTTTGCAAGCAGAGCAGCTTCAGATGAACCCACTTTGTCACCCTTCTTGATAAGCTCAACCGGGGTGATAATTTCAACAGTTCCTTTGTTAATCTTGGTGGGAATGTTGAGAACCTGCATGCAAATGATGTGAGCAATTTTATTACAAAAGTGACAGCGCAACTTAGTAAATAATTTATGATCACCTGGAAAAAGGAAGTCTGCGATGGATCAAGACCAGTATTTCCAGGTGGGACAACAACATCGACAGGTGCCACCAAACCAACACGAGCAGGTGCTCCAACCTGTAAAACATAAGATGCTTTTAGCATAGATAGAAGGGGTCACAAAAAGCGCTTAGCTCGGTATTTTATCTTTTTGCCTTATTTCTGTTGTTTGCAATTTTAGACCATTTTCACCTCTACATCTAAATTTCAAAAGAATGCTTGTTGACATTGAATGCAGATTCTCGGATTCAAACTCAAGAAACGTATTAAAATTATAAAATTACTTTGTCCAAGCCCGACTCAAGCTAAATCATACATTAAGATTAATAAATTACAAAAAGGATTATACAACAGTTAAGTGGCAAAAAAATCTAAAAGGACTAGCAAACGATAATACAATTATAAAGAACAATGACAATTTCTGACCAAGTGGCAAAGATTAGACAAGTACAAGCAGGACATGTAAAACAATTCAGTGAAATCGATAGAGTGAAAAGCACCTTAAAGTTGTCAAGACAAAAAGATAACCTATAGCATTCAAATCAACTAGAGAAAACCACAAAATCACACCCTTATGGGCTAATCAAGTTAAAATAAAACTAATACAGCAGGAAAAAAAGGTAGTGCAAACATTCACCTTGTACTTGGCAACCTCCTCGCTAACTTCCTTCAAGTCGCCCTTGGTGAAAATCAACCCAACATTTCCCTATTGAAAGAAGGCAACTAATCCAATTCAAAAGTTGACCATTTTCACAAAACGGCGATAGCTTTGCAAATTCGGTGAAAGTAGATTAAAAAATTTTAGTATTTCAGCTACTGTTCAAAATTTAATTATCTACACTTGCCTTCATTAAAAAAAAAAAAAAAAAAAAAAAAAAAAAAAAAAAACC